TTGAAATCAAGATCCGTCTAGTCTTCTTGTGATAATCCAATATCCTGTGAAAGTTGTGTCATAGCTGAGAAAAATGCACTCACTAGAGCGAGGAGCCCATTTCTTTCTGGCTAGGATGGTGTCGAGAACTAAAGTTTAGCACCCAAAGATTAGAAGATGTCGTATATCGGGAGTGAGACCCGTGAGCTTGGCATATGGAGTGTCGCCGGCGTTTGTTCGCGTGGAACATCTGTTGATGACATAGTTGGCAGTTGCAATAGCTTCGGTCCACATGAAAGAAGGTAGATTGCGCGCAAAGGCCATACTCCTGGCTTTTTCTAATAAGCTCATGTTTTTTCTCTCTGCGACACCGTTCTGGTGAGGAGTTTGAGCTTGGATGAGTTGTCTGGCTATCCCAGATTCGTCACAGAATTTGATGAAAGCATGTGACGTATACTCTACTTCCTTGTCGGACCGTATGGCTTGCAGTTTAAACTTGCTAGGTAGTTTGACCATTGATTTGAATTGTCGAAACTTGGTCAATGTATCACTTTTATGTTTGAGAAAAAAGATCCATGTGAATCTGTTGAAATCATCAGTAATGGTTAAGATGTACCTCGATCCTGAGAGAGAGTTGGTGGACATTGGCCCGCAAAGATCGCTGTGAACTAGCTCCATGGGTGTTGTTAAGCTGTGTTTGCCGTCGGCTCCTTGTTCTTTTCTGAGACTTCGGCATGTAATGCAGAGCTTTGGAGATGGGGTCTTGATTGGAATTTGTTCCCTTGTTTGTTTTCCGAGGTGACACAGACGGCAAAAGGGAATTGATGTGATCAAACTCGGTAGACCTCAAACTTTGATTTTCAAAGCCATGTACTACAGGATTCGCAAGTTTGCCTGGCCTAACCTTTGATGCCACATACTTGAAGCTGATTCGGAGGTGAAACTTTGTGTTTGACTTGTGCTGTCATTGCTGGTCCTAGAAGCAAGTTTCTTCTTGAAGCAGGTTTCTTCTTGTTCTTCTTGCAGCAGCGATGTCACGCTGTTGATCAAGTCTTCTGGAGGCCGGAATTTGTAGAGTTCGTTTTTGCAATCCCTGTGAACTTGTGTGACGACATGGTGCGCACTAGGAGTGGGAAAGTTTTTCAGTATCTAGACCCTACCTCCGTCAAACACGATTTTCAACTTTTCTGTGCCGTCTGCTATCATTCCTACTCATAGGAGATTTTTTTGACTCCCGGGATGTAAAGAACATTGTCAAATTTTATTCCTCTAGATTGGGTGGAAATTTTTTCTTTGCCCTTTTCAACAACATTCAAGGTTTCTCCTCCGGCAGTGCTAATTTTTGAATTGCTTCCTAAATCTATTTCATTGAGCAGCATTTTGCATCCAATAACATGCTTGGACGCGCCACTGTTTACGTATTAGTCGGTCTGACTATTGCATTGCTCAGCGAGATTTAGTTTGGTCAAGTTCACTGTTAGTTCACAGTTCGAACCTAGAGTGTCATCGTCCTCACTACTTTCAAAGTTGTCGTCGAGGTTGATGTTTGTCTATTCTCTCCGATCGACCCGATGTTTCTTGAGTTCAGCTGCAAGCTCGGAGCAGTTGCGCATCCAGTGACTCGACAATCCGCAGTAGTGACATGCGCTGGAGATCTTCTTTCCCTTGCTGAGGCTATCTCCTTTGGATGTTTTTTTTTGCTTCATGAAGTTCTTTGATTTGACGAACATGGCCTCCGAATCACTTTGTTTTTTACCCCTGATCTCTCTTTGTATCTCGTCTTGGAGGAGGATGACGGTAAGTTCAGCAACGCATGGGAGAGTTGACCAATACTTGATGGTGTTGACTAGCTCTTCGTAGCTCTCGGGCAGCGCTATGAAAACGTGTTCAACAATTTCTTCATCTGCGATTGTTTCCCCCGCACATGCAAGCTCATTGATGAATTCTTTGAAATTTTGTAGAAACGTGGAAATGGACCCTCCCTCTTCCAGCTTAAGGCTCGTGAGCTTCCGCCACAGCAAGAGTTTGCAGGAGTTCGAGTTACTTGCGTACAATGCCTTCAGTGTTGCCCAACAGACATACGGTTTTGTGATATTCGCGATGTATGGTATCACGTTATCTCTGCCTGATAACGCGATCATCGTGAGTGCTTTGCTCTTCTGTGCCTGCAAAGCGGTGAGTTCGGCATCATCGGTTGGTGCTACAGTGCCCGGTGATGGCTCGATAAGCTTCCACGTATCGTCCCTGCATAGCATTTACGTAGCTTAAAGCTCCAGACACTGTAATTGTTGTTTCCTTCTAACTTGGATGCTTCTCCAATGGAGACTTCACGGAGTGCCATAATGGCGCGGTGAATTATTGATCTAATATTTGCACTAGTACTGCTCTACCCTCCTTGAGCTTTGATCTATTCTGCACAACTGACCTCACTAGCTATCCTGCAATAGTCAAATATTCTACACTCCAAGCTATTACATATTACTCGAAAGGAGTAAGCAACTTACTACGCGCAAAGATTTAAAGGCTTAAGAGGACGGTGGTTTATCTTCACTTGAAAAGATGTACAGTTTTTCATATTGCACATCCTAAACGAAAGTGAAGGCTTGAAGATTAGATTTCTCTCGCGTGATAGAATTGATCAAAGTATGCATAGCTTAGATATAGAATCGGCTAATTCAGGTCGGCTGCATAAGATGAAGTAATATGGAATAAATTTGGCAATATTCGTTGTGCGTATGAATGCTGAAAGAATACCTCTTTGACAAGCAGACCTTTTAAGTCTCAGCATGTGTACGGAACCAGATATTGAGTCATGTAGAACGTCGTTACTTATCTCTATAGTAGCCTTGGCAAGAAATAGCTAATTGTAGAGTTAATAGTCTCTCTATGACACAAAACCTCTAGCTACAAACTTTGTATATTTAATATTTATATTACCATCAACAAATTGAGTCATGTACCTTCTATATCGCTCTGTGTTGCGTGAGTTTTTCTCGTGCATTCGATGTTGGATGACAACCATATCACAATATACAAACTTTGTAATTTCTAGAAGTACTCAGCCAAATTTGTAAAAGATATATGATGTAGACAACAAAGATGTGATCATTGAAAATATCTCAACAAGATCACAACGCAATGCTTATTTGCGTGCAGTTGATATCAACATCAAGATGTCCAAGAAGATCCAACCCCTTGAAACCATCATTTAAAATCCTCTATTTAGCTCTTTCTCACTTAAAACTTGACATCTCATTGTTTGTTCAGTACTTTTTTTTCTCTCAAAATCCTCTAACATTTTTATTTTTTTCTCCCAAATGTTATAATGTCCATCGTACTTGATGTATATTCATCCCTTCCTGCTTTTTCTCCTTTTTGTCATCATCACACTAGTCTATTTTATGAATCATCTCCGTAGCCATAGTCTTTACTACTTTATTAACATTAGCTTCATGTTTTTTAAACTACACTGTAATCGTCAACAAGCTTATTCTTCACCATTCTATCTCCATCATAAACGAGAAATTGTTTCACCACTAAACCGAAATGTTTCAATTATCACAAGACTAAACAAGTACTATCAAAAAATATCTTAGCTGTTTAAACTTCCAATGTCATGAGCCAATGACTTCAAAGAGATGCATCATGCAAGATTAGCTGCTTCAATCTTTTAAAAAATTCTATAATTGTGGGTAATTTTTGTAACTTACTAGATATGATTGCAAAAGTAACATACTTAACTATCGTCTTAAAGAGTCTTGCATTACTACAAAGAATCATGATTAAGACCAGAATTGACTATTGATCTTCCCCTTACGAAATTTTCGCTAGTGCTTTAGCCAATTCTGATTATTTTATACCACAACCTCATCCTCATGTTCAATCTGAAGGCTTGGATAGTTGTGTGTATTATTGGATGAGAGACAACACAATGCCAACTTTGAACAACAATAAGCATGCAAACATCCTCTATATGCATAAAAAGAGAAGCACCCTCGACAAAGTTTCATTTGACTTTTTTTTGAAAAAGACGAGAAAATCTGATTAAAAATCAAGTTATTTTGTGCAATCACTACAATGGGTAGGAGCAAAAGATAAGAGTCGCTCTTTCAAGGGCTACTACACAATTACAGTATCCCAACATAGCGATTGATAGAGCCAGAGTAGTAGTATGATCGTAGATCTACTATCCAAGACTCTCATGTGTCGAGGTACGACGTGGATCACATATGTCATTGATTGTTAATTTAGGTTTCGACATTGATATGAAATCCAACTTTCCAAGTTGGATTTCATATTAATCTTGTTCATATTGTCATCAGTAATATATTGTGTAATGTACTTTGACAACATTTTGCCATAGTTTTATACAAAACATCAAGGAGTGATGTATCTAAAAGAGTAATGACATCAGAGCATGTGGTGATACTACCATTGCTTGTACAGTGCTTGGTGTAAATAATTCATACGTACTAGATATTCCATGATACCGTTTGTTTGAAGATACTAATGGGCTTTACGTTTCATTTCTTCCTTGTAGAGCTTGATTGAGCTTTCCAACCTTTTTGGTACTCTACTTGAACCGGGTAAAATATAAATAATAATTTTGCCTTGTAAAATTAACAATCATGTAATGAAATTGGAATTTCAGCCTTAGGACGAATCTTGAGATTGACAACAGTACCTAAATTGAAACTACACCGAGGTCGGACCTATGAAAAGAAAGAGACAAGTGCACAGAGAAAAAATATCATAAATCCGGTGCATGAAAGCGTGACTTTATCATACAGCCATATCATTGAGAATTTGAAGAATACTCGAGTAAACTTCTTCACCGAAAAAAGACAAACTTCTACCTTTTTTGTAAGATGGCATCATTCAATTAATTGCGGGCTTTAGTTTAGTAACTGGGTCTCCATTTGGCTCCGGCTTTTGTTTGGATCTGTATAAGCAACGAAAGCATAGACAACTTTAGATGTGAACGTAACGCGTGTCAGCACGGCGATCGCGACCTGAAGGCTCGACTCTTGTCCCAAAAGGCGACGGTGTTTGTGGTACTGCGACCGACTGTCGACTGTCCGGTCACTGGCTCTAGCCGGTCACTTCCGCAGGCTCTGCTCTTGAGGCAGCATCTGAAGGGAAATGCATCGTCTGAAAGGACTGACAGGAAGCGATTACGTCTGCCGATCTACGAGTTTGAGTTAGATCCGGATTCGGAACTTGTGTCGAAGGTTGGTTTCAGCTCTATATTCCCGTCTTTTCGAATGTGGACGTTTTGAGTTTGTGTAGATCGTTTGATTCTGTCGGTCCCCTGTTTTTACTTTTTACGTTTGACCTACATCAGCTTAAACCCTACTTGAATAACTGTGGAATCACACTATTCGTGGATCTGGGGTTTACAGGCGCAATTTGGGGTTGCGAATCGCCGATCGGCCTCAAGAAATTTTGTTCAGGAGATCCTGACGATTTCTCCTTAGCAGTCGTCCGAGTTACGGGTGAATTGGCCAGGAAGGGTTTCCGATGCTCAGGTCAAGAATACTCCGAAGGCTCCTGCCCTTTCGGTCCCAGTCGCTCCAGCGGAGCCCTCTCGAATCTTTTCCCGCTGGTTTAGGAACTGCACGTGCCCTTTCTTCTGCTGTTCTTTCTCAACCTCTTACAGAATCAGATGGTCCGAACAGAGCCCCATGGGGTTTGTTCTTCAGCAGGGGTTCCAAATTCGCAAGTGGTTACTCAGCCCTGACACGGAAGCCGCTGGATTCCATCATGAATGTGGAGAGCGTGAAATATGCTAGTCCAGAGGAGCTCACGACCATCTGGAACGAGGTAAGGGAGCTCTGGAGATTCAAAATTACACAATTCACCAAAGTAAAGAATAGGTTTCGATCCAGAGCATCTGTGATGAGGATTCCCTCCGAACAGAGGATACCAACAACTTTGTGTGTCACATTTTACTATTTTGAAGCATGAAAGTTGCTGACATACAGATTTGTGTTCGTCACCAATTTGACCTGGAATATCAAATATTGGGTATTCCTATATATGAGTTTGCTCTCATGGGCTTCGCTATATGCCTGACGAACACATCGTCGAAGAGACATTGTGTCTTTTTAATGGGCAGTTTTACGTCTCGCGAGTCTCTTGTCTTTATGAAGCAAGGGTCTCGTAAAGCTTCATTCCTTAAGGACTTCTTTTCTAGTAAGCTTGAGTTGACGCCATCAGCTGCTTCAGTATCACGCAATTTGAAGAGATTAAATTCGAACATGTAGTATGTCGTTATTGGTTGTTACAATTTATTGTACGCGAAGTGATGGTGTTATTCTTTGTCTCGATATGGAGAATGGCAGTATCATATAGGGAGGGGGCACATTAGCGCCGTCATGGGTATTCAGCTTTACCAAGCGTTTGAACACCGGGCAAAAACTTGGTAAGCAATTTGTGTGGCCCCTTCTGATTCTTTACTTTCGTACTCAGTTTGAGGCAGTTGCTCAAAAGCTCAATTTATGTCTGGTTATCAGACATAATGCATGCCCACAAGTAAGTAAGATGATTACAGCTCAGTGAATAGCGTTGAATCTCTGCACCCTGTAGGAGCTCTGGAGTTGAAATGATGATGCACATTTTTCAGGCCATCTTATTGTCTAGGAATGTCTTGGGTTTGTGAACAGAGTCCATTCTTGAAGTCTTGGCAATTTCTTTGTCTCGGTGGGGACGTGGCTTTCAGTTGTTGGCAAGTATCGTCACCAGCTAGAACAAAACCCAGCTGCATATCTGCCAAATCTGCTTGTGGTGTGAGGTGATTTGTTTTTTTATTGAACGTGTTCTGCATCTGGATGTAACAGCCCCCTCTTTGTAATACCCATCAAGCGTGGCATGGGGTATATCACCCTTCTTGTACAAGGTTTGTTCTCGATAAACTGTGGGATTGAGTTTCCAGCTTCATGTTCGTCGCAAATTTAGAATTCACAATATCGTAATTCATGTCGTCTGTTCATGTGATCACTCGGATGCCAGGAATTAAAAAGAAAAACTTTATCTGTATCGGAAGTTATCTTAATCGATGTCATAATCCTCGTTTGATGATATATACTCGCATGATAACAGCACAGATGCCATATTTACTATTTACTGGCCTTGGAGATTATCAAGCGCGTGGAGCTGACGCGACGCCTTACCTTACTGTAACTCACTATCAGGAGCTTGCCCCGACTAAAGGACTGGTGCTAGTCAGGGGTGATGTCGTTCTCACTAGCAAGTTGACCGATGCAGAGGTGCAATTCTACTCTAGTGAAAAGCGGAGTTTTTGTTATCTAGTAGGATGGTAGGAAGTCGTCTGAAATGAGGTTTATCAACTCTTTGTATAACTCTTATCTTTTAGTGCGCAATCTGGTGGTTTCTGTACATAGTATATGATCCTTTCTCTTCTATCGAATGACAGATCGATACAATAGAAGGTCTTGTATTTATCTTTCTGGACTGTACCGACGACGTCTCATGAGCTTCGCATCATGCATCTGGAAACCAGAATTTTTAGAGATATGACTCTGTTATCTTCTACCCGTTGACCCCAAGACTTACCGTATTTCTGATGTTGTGTAATAGGCCAGAACAGCATTGGAGATCGCCCATTCCTTCTATCTCAGAGATTCGAGGTTCAGGATGGTGCAAAATTTCAACAATCGAGCCGATGAATTTGAGTTCAGGGAAGTCTTAAGAGAGCTTGGACTGCTGGGCTGATCACTGTAGGCACTTCCATTCCTTTCCTTTCACCTCATTGTTATGTGTGAGATTTCCGTAATAGTAAGTTATCTCCATCATTATTTCTATCATAGAACGTGAATGTTTTCATCATTGTGGCCTCCAGATGGACGTGACATTTCAAATCCGTAGACCGCACGAAGGGGCAGGGTATTTATAGGACACCAAGTTTTATTTTCACAGCACTGTGGGTATACAAATTGAAATGGAGACTGGAAATTATGGAAGAGATATTTTTCACCTCATTATAGAAGCTGAGCTGGTAGGCTCTTACAATGTTCGCGGCCTCTGTCGGGTCCTGCATTTTAAATCTCTCACATGAGCACTCACAAAGTCATCTTGTTCAAATTCTTCAATGGACGGTATGAAGATTCTCATTCATATTTCGGATGTAGGGCATATACTTGTTGGGCTATAAAATTCCACAGCTGTGGTAATAATGAAACAGAAACTGCAATTTGATAGTCAACATACCAGCAGTTCGTATCATATTTTGACATGTTACTGGACTGCTGGAACTGTTTGATTATGTGGATACCAAGGTCTACAAGTCTCACACACCGACCCATTCTGGATCATTTTCGTTTTGGCTTTCTCAAGTGGATTCTTGTTACCCGAGATACGCACTAACAGTAGCTATGAGGAGTAAAGACTAAGTGGAGGAACGGTCAACAGACAATGTACATGTAAATCAAATGTGAGAAAAATTGTTCAACTCTTTGAATGTGATTCTCGTTGATTGAAAAATTATCTATGTCCTACACAGCATGGGTACCGTCGACCCGAACATAAAGAGCTCTATCTCTATCGGATCTTCAATCTTGAAACCGAGTCAAAGAGAACATAACGCTAGCAGGGGGAAAGTGGAAATTGAAAAAAATTAGATGTCCTACACTCCAGCAAGTGTTGTGGCACTGGAATTCATTTGAAAGAATGGACTCGAGGAGCCCCAACAATGTTTTGGTCTAGACTTAGTTTGTCGGAATGGATTTCACAAAGCTCCTCGAGTCCATTCTTTCAAATAATTCCTGTATCCTTCCGATTCCAATATCCAGTCTGGATACAGACTTGTTAGAAGTGCATGCCAGACCGATCCACTGCGTTTTGTAAACGAGTCCATCTGAACAGTTCCCATGTTGTCTGAAACCTTTTTTACACCAGTGGGCAGGTGACTGCAAAGTCACTAAAAAGAGCTTTCATGCTTCACCACGTCAAGAGGATGCTGCCTTTGGTTGACATTTGCATCGTTCCAGTTCGAGCTAATTCCTCAAGAGCCCCGCAGAGATTTGCAGGCGAGTCGGTAACAAACCCATGTAGCCAGCCAGGTGCAGCTGCTCGCTCGGCGTCAGCAATAGACTTCCTAACCTGGCGCAGTCTCAATATCAAGATGGGGAGCAGCAGAGTTTCCGAGTTGCTGCCGATCAAGTCTTGCAGTTTGCACGTGCTCCATAATAGTTTCGTGGCCGCGACGAACGAGCATGTTGTGCACTGACAGCTACGAGGATAATGACCTTGGCAACCCAGCCAGACTTGGAAGCATGGGAGGAGGGAGCTGTTTGAGTTTGGAGCAGTACAGAAGTTTGATATTCAACTTCTTGCTTGCTTTTCCACGAGAGACACCAGACCAGCTCGTTCGATCTGAGCAGCACTCAAATGATGACGATCAGAATTATTGTATCATGGATTAGACTGCAGACAGTAGATCACATCCTCAACTCTAAATTCTGTGAGAGTGACGATTATTTGTTATCGTTTTTTCCTGGATGCGATACAGTCTGCAGCACATGATTGATTATGAGAAGAAGATGGTCGCTTCAAAGGGAGCAATTCCGCAGAATCCGCACCGTTATTTTCTAGATGAACGAATCTCCATCACTTCCTGCAGATGCCACTCCTGTCACTTTCAAAACGAATTCCACCAACAACGTGAGAAATGGTGACAGTGCTGTGTAATCCTACACAGGATGGGCTGTATTATATCCTGTTAATTGTCGTTAGAGACTCAAGCACCTCTATTCCAATCTTTGCTATTTGTGTCGGAAATTCGAGACTGAAAGAACTCAATCACGCTAGAGGCATTGCCAAGTCAAAATGAACACTTCGAAGAATCTCATGATGAGGAAGGACGTCTTGTTTCCACTTCACCTTTCATAAAGTTGCATGAAAGAATATCCTTTTATCAGATTGTTGACGTGTGAGAAGAAAGGCTATTAAAGTCATCTATTATGTTGTATACAAATATTCATATTGATTGTGACACCAAGACCACTACAAACCTATAAATCTTATTCTATGGGATGTGGAATGCACAGGTTTTGAGTGAGAGGAAGATCTCTCCCTTGCTTGTCCTTTATTTCTATTGGCCCATGTGTTTTTTGGGCTTCCTTCTCGGTTGGCTTTTGTAGATGGGCCATCATTCTCTTATTCCAGGCGTCATGCCTTTTCTCTCATTAGGGATGAAGTCAATAATCTCCACTAGAAGATAGGGTCATTGTCTCGTATGCTGTTAAAATTGCAAGCTCATTTAAGCGCCTTCAAGAAAAGGAGCCCATCAAACCAGAGGAAATGTACGTGGCATACACCAGAAGAGCAGGAGTAAGATCTTTCTGGGAGCTTCGTGTGTGACTCTTCTGTCAAGGACTCTTCTTTTGCTACATTAGCACGACAGCCTTCGACGTTGACGTGAGTAACAGTATGTTCCCGCCATCCCAATGTACTGCACTACGACTGTGGAATCTTTGTACAAACTTTAAGTTGGACTGGATTCTCCAGTAGTGCATGTTGTACTTGGGTCTCCAACCTATAGGAACTAACGATATGGTATAAACCAGCTTACAGTTGGCCTATGAACAGATTGGATATTATATGATACAAGTCCAAAATAAATATGATTAAGATTTACACTTTTGCAACCATCGGACATCTGACAAAATCTTGGCCGCGATACCTGCAGCTCTGATAGAGGATCTGTTGACGTTTCATCACATTTTGTTTCTGGCGTTATATGTCACTTCCTTTTCGGGGCTATTGGATCTTCTTATTATTTTGAGGCTTTTATTGGTAACGTCGTTAGCTGACATGCACAAGTATGAAATACAAGACAATTGAGTAGAGATTTGTGTTGTTTTAAAAGTCAGATATTCCGCATAAAGATATAATCACCTGGTCATAAGTAAGTATATGTTGCAGTTTGCAGCCTAATCGCCTGCCATTGTCTGCGAGGTGAAGGAAAAGGCGAAGCATAGATTAGGACGATGCTTGATGTAACGTTGCTACGATTTGTAGCGGTTCATGGGCCTTGTCAAGTTTCTGACATGTCGGTGTTACCCGCTCGGCCCTCGATCCTTTCTAATCTTCGATGGGCCTGGCCAGACCTCTTTTCATTCGCACCTTTCAGTTTTTGGCTGTGAATCAGGACCCCATTCAAGCGGTCGAAAGGCTGCAGCAGGAGCTCAAGATGAATGGATCCGGTAGGCATCGTGTTGTCCCTCTCAGACACTTGCTGTCCAGTGAAAAGCTTCCAACACATCCGAGCTAAGGCAGCTCAGAACAAGCGTTTCTGCTCTACCGTCGTGTATCTCGTGGATGGGTATTGTAGTTATTCATTCTCTCGGACATAGTCTCGTTTATCGAATGCAAAGTTCGTTGTTGATGTATGCAATTAGACGAGATTGATTTTGGATCCTCTTCAATCACGCCATCAATCTGCGATAATCACAGATGACAAAACTCCACTCCGGACCGTCACAGCATGATCATTATCCCTCCGCCCCTGCTGGGAATACTCCGATACTGTTGATATATACGTGTCGACTTGATTTCCACTCGATCTGGTCGATGTATTGTCATGATTGTATTCGTCTTGCTTGGGGTGAACAATTCCGCCCCTTTGGATCAGTATCATACCACTGTAAAAGTGGCAAACGGAAACTCGACATCATCTGAGAACAGGAGAAAAAAGCTCAGCAGGATGTCGTGCTCTTTCATGAGAGATATACGAACGCTGTACGTGCTACTGTCGAAAGATTGGAGAGGTAATAACACTCAAGAACTGTTCTTGAAATGAAGTCCTGAGACGATGAGTGAGCTGAATTCAGCTCTTGAGAGGGAATCCTAGAAGCTAGAAGAGCTCTCAGCTGCTAATTTGGTACGAGATGAAAGTCGCAAATACCAAATTTTGCCCACGGTTCTCGGTACAATGCATCGGTTCGGAATGCATTCTTCGAGGTACGTACAGAATAAGACTCTTGTCCATCGAGATTAGACGATGAGATGACATGTAACAGACGCACCTTGATTCGGGACATGTTTCTCAGGCTGTATTGGGACGAGCAGCGTGATGAAGACGCGGACAGGACAGCGTACGAGGCCGTTAACCTTCCTGAGGTCGCTAGATCTGACTCCGTGGGCTTCCGTAAGACCTGACCAGGGGCCTTCAGCTAAAAGCCTGAAATGTTGCAGAATGCAAGGCCGGTGGGGGCGATGCGACCGCTGTCATGGAAAGATAGAGGCGGGAGCAGAGGAGCATGATGCTGAAGGAAAGCCGACTCTGCGATGGCTTGTGGGCCACGTTATAGCCACATGAGCGCAGGTTCAGCTGAAAAGTACGTGCTCGTTTGGCCGGCGGTCCATTCGAGCTCTGGCCAGTTTCCGAGTTCAGAGGAGGCTCGAGGACTGACACCGAGCATCTTCTTTCTGTCTGTCAAGAAGGTTACGCGGGGAATGGATGGCTGTCCTCTCTAGGTCCCTTGAGCGTTCTTCCCATCTCCCTAAAATCAGCCTTGCAACTGAATTTGCGTCACATCCACACGCTGTTTTGTAGCTTAGCCTCTGGTTACCATTCTGTCAGATGCGAGTAAAATGAAACATCCCAGAAACAGAAGACTCCTGAAACTCTTCGCCATCTTTTTGGTTATCGAAGTGCGAGCCGATGACTTCGCTTCCTCTCAATCACTTTACAGGCTCTTGCTTTTACAGTTCAACGAGCACCTGCCCCATCAAATATCGAGCACAAACGTGACCTCATTGACTTGTCTCGTTCAGTCTGATGAGCTTCAATTGTTCATTTTCTATCTTTTCAAATTGAGACGTAGAAAACCAGAGTCGAAAAGGATTGAAGTGTTTAGACGATTATCCTTCAGGACAATTCAGTGCCCGCCTATTGTGATGTAGTGTTCTGAGTCGGAGACTTTCGCTCGAATTCCTTCCCCTTCGAGGCTCTGACAATATGCAGGCATCAGAGTTTACCGGCAGTTCTTTCAAGGAAACCCGAACTCACTAACTGAAAGCAAGGCCCTTTTGAAACCATAAAAAGAACGTGAAAGGTTGAAGTTTGCACAATATATCTTTTGCTCTTGGGTTACGAGCACGATCTGATACTGCGCCTTTAAACTAGGTTCAAATTTGGATCTCTTGGTGGTTAGTATTCATCTTGGCAGCTGTTAATAAGAAAATATGGCGTCACTTCTTTGGTCAACGTACATAAGCCGTTCCAGTTTTCAAGCAGCAGTTTTTCGTATGTCATGTGAACTGTCTACAAGTCCCTTCGGCTAGTTCAACTGGGCTTCTAAGGAGACAGAAGAAGAACAGGAAGAACAGACTAACCTGCGGCCAATGGGTGCATGTTAACAAACTAGGTGACACCTGGGGCAAGGTGAGTCATTTAGGCCTGTGTGAACTTTTCTGTGCACCTGGCAATGCTAAGGTGTCGTTGCAATGTAGAAGTTCATGAACTTTGGATCTGAAAGTCTTACATTCTGGCACTGATTACTCTCAGGAGCCTTACACACCGGCTGGTTTAGAAGAGGTGTCTGCGATGTCATGTTCTAGGCTCCAGTCTAGAGTGACAACTTTCATGCATGCTCCAGGGGCACATGTAAAGCTTTGGCGTACAACATGTACTGTATTGTGGCAACTTATGTCATGTGTACTGCATCTAGTTAACTTCAGGTGAAAATGTTTGGTGTGGCAAGCAGTCAAACCAAGCAATTTTACCTGAAGTCTAACTTGGTGGCAAGGAAGAACTTACAGTCACATCAAAAGCAAAGACGTGATACATAGTTTGAAGCGTCAGCGAGGAATTGCATTATTGTGAAGAAAGCTACACATGGTTTCCACACGAATTAGCCCCAGTATAACATAACACCAGAGAGAGAGAGAGAGAAACTGAACCAAGAGTAAGTTTGAGGTGAAGAGTGCCTACAGCTCGTATGCAAATTATGCACGTATTGCTCTGTAAAGAGTCAGTAGACTTGCTCATATATCTATTATAGGCGTGCCCCAAAGCTTCTCTCCCTCGACTCCTATTCAGGACTCCACGGCTTCGCTCCTTCCCAGAATTTGGTCGTTATCTCGTGCTTACAGCTGAATCCGGCGAACTTTGTTTCATCATATTCATCAAGTGCTTGGAAATGACGAAGAGCTCAAAAGTCCCTCGACTCTCGAATGAGGGCGTCAGTCTCGATTCTCGACACCGCGGGAGTTTCTCATAGACCTAGTGAACTTAGTCTGCGAGAAACTTGACTGATCCAATTTCCTTTCCAACCTACATATTGCAACAAACTGGAAAGTGTTGCAGATGGCCACATACATGCAGACCTGCAAGACAAATCTTTACTATCACTGCGGCCTTCCGCAGAATTCTGGAGAACCACGTCGAGGCGCTCTAAGGCTTAGGTCCTCATGGTACATGATGATACTACGAATATTCACTCGATGGTTCTCACCGTGTTCGCTTAAATGAGCAGACTACTGATTAGCAGTGATCGACTCACTCTGCACTGTGCGAGCTTTTACCGTCCTTGGGGATTACGAGATTCCCTCTCGTCTCCACATTGGTTCGGTTCGGGATCATATCGGCTTTCAAATCCAACTAAAAAGCATCGGTCGTAGATCCAGACCGTGCAGAGTCTGGATGTCAGTCATCTCACCGTTTACCTGCATATCCAAGGCTGGAACATGATGCCATAAAAACACACAAGCCCTAATTGCAAACATTAAAATATCGATGGCGTACTCTGATTTATAATCGGCTCATGATTTCTGTCCGAGGTTTAAGGTTTCCGCGGAACCGTATATTTGAAATGAGGGTGATGGTCCAAGTTGCAATCAGTTCATGCGTGGAGGAGGTGGTCAAGTTTCATATCAGCAGCGTTATGATCGGCTCTAGATATGCTTAATAAGTAGCTGCTCTCTGAGGCCGAGGCTAAGACCTCTGAAAGATCCTCAGTCAGAAATCACGATTTGGCCTCTTGACAGGAATTAAGTCTGAGAGGGTGTGCGCAAAATCTGGATAATAGTTTTATCTGCATGTACGGAGCTCATGGGACAGAGACGGCAAGATGTTTCCGCAATCGATTGCTGCCACCACTCTCGTCTATGTCAACACAGAGTGCTGATTTGTGTGCTTGCCGTCCATCATTAAATTAGTGATCAAAGTGCACGCGTTTGCTGCATGATCCTAGTGGTCGGTGTCAGTAGGGAGAACATTCTACACGCCTTCATTGGACGATGATGTACTGAAAATGGTCATTGCTTGGTATAATACTCAAGCGTTTGGAAGTATTCGAGATCTCGTCACATCCACAAATTTGTGTTTGGGAACCAGACAGAAGATAGCGAGACCGCGTTACTCGATGAGAAGAATGACGAGAAAGATGCAGTTCAGAGAAAGCTAGCACCAAGGCCATCATTTACAGCTAGCAAAACCATGATAGCAGAGTGCGAGCACGTGGAGCAATGAGGCATCCGATGATGGCTAAGTATACTCGCAGTTCTTCTAGTGTCATAATGAAGGAGAAATATCCAAGAAAAGACGAACGCTGAAGAGGGGAATGATCATGGCACCCAAAGACGAGTCTGATTTCGAATTTGCTGATCATTGCATTCATTGGTGTTATTTAACGGCATGTTGAGTGCTTATCAGATCGAATTATTGGAAATCAAGTGCGAGGATAAGAGTGCAGGACACAGCCATGGTCCAAGTATGACGGGAGCATTAAAACCAACTGCAAGCTCCCATATTTCGTTCGGGTTTGATGATCCATCCAGAACGAACAAACGAGCGTCCTTCATGAACCGGACCGCCTGCAGCTCACAGACTTCAAAGCACTGGAAAGAACATGCACTCTTTAGCTATGCCGTCTGTTTCACAAACGCATCCTACATGCCCCCGCCTTCTTTGAGCAATTCCCACCGGAACTAGGACATCAAACCTTGTCAACGCAGGAATACCCATGCCCACAGGATCAATTACGAAAAAAGCAGTTCCATTTGACTTCTTCCACAACAAGTCGAGGAAGGTTGTGACTCTTTTTTTTTCTCTCTCTCTCTCTTCTCTCACACATATGTCAGGACTCGTGCCTGGGTACTTCATGAGGTTCTGTTGTTCACAACGGCGATGTCCACGGTTCTCCTTGCTACCAGTCACTTCAGACTGGAACCGAAGAGAACTACGTCAGTTGGACCTATTTGTTACAAACTTAGAGGTTGCTCTACATCTGCAGAGTAGCCAATCATCTACCTTCGATTCACGTACGTAACGAGCACGAGGTACCGTAGATTCGACATGATGATGGTGGGGGGAGGGGGGTTACTTTGTAACGTATGGGACCTGGGTTTGTACCATTGGGTTATATCCACGCACAACTTGATGGGGTCTTCCCATACCTTGTGCAGCATTCCCCTCAGGGCTCAAACCCTCCGTAAGAGAACCACAGCCGTATAGACCTCGTCTCTGTTCTAACTCGGGTCGTCAGATGGGCGATGGGGCCCTCCCTTCTCTCTTGTTGTAAGTTGTTCTATGTTCGGCCCGTGAAGGTGAGCGAATCTTCCAGTGCCTAGATCCGAGCTCTTGTCCAGTTGTCTTGGTCGTTAGCCTCCCCTTTCATTCTCTGCTTCCATGCAAACTTGCTTTTTCTTTCCTGCGTTCAGCACGAAGGATGGTGAGCATCTCTCGCCTGCAGTGATATGTTTGATGCCGCAGTTTACCTTTTCCATACCTGAACCATCTATGAAGGACAATTTTAAAACAGCATGTGAACTGAAAATCTCAACTGTCATTCTTGGCAATTGTGCGTAAGATGTCTTGCTAAAGCAGTTCCAAACTGAAAGGTTATCGTAAGACTTGTGCTTGTATATATTGTGAACTCAACACACCGAGACAGGTTCGATGAATTCGATCACAACGGGTTGATGTGTTTAGAGATAGTTTGGTCCGACATCAAAATTTTGGATCATGGTAGAATATAGGTTGATCGACAAAGCTATTGAGTAGCTGTGGAAGAGTTTTCTTACATTTCTTTCAGAGTGAGTAGATTGCAGAAGTTGCTTTACTAAAGGTTTCATCGATCCAAGTCTCCCATACATATGGAATCACTGCATCTAAAGCTATGGAAGAATTCCACCGATTTTCACCACTACGTCATGTTGGGTGTTTGTTTGACGTGTATGTCATCCCTTACGATTGCACTTCGAACCTTGATTTATCTGTTATATGGAAAGAGGTAATTTCGAGGGTGTATGGCAGCCAATACTACAAGATAATGCAAAACTCCTTCACGTTCTTCATATAGTTTGCTTCGATGATGAATCAAAAGAGGCATTTGTATCAGAAACAGGGTCTACAGGCTTTTGCCGGGCTGCTAGTGTGGCTATGGTTGTCGATGACTTGGCTCATGCCAACGACCTCGACATGCACATGGCCGGGCCAAGTACAGGGCACCGAGAAGATGCCAATTGTGTACGGGAACAGTCGAGGAAAGGAAGAATACACGAGACGAGGCCAGTGAGCGATCGAGTGGCCGCCCAGGTCCTTTTCATGAGGCCTAACGGAAGGAAAGATTGGCGAGGGGACGAGGAAGTCGATCGGCGAAAGAATGATCGCGGTCTCTGAGTGTCTGCGGTGGGGTCATGATCATCAGCAACCTTGATGCTCAGCGGATGTTGGTCCTTCGCTCACCTTTTGGCCTTCAAGGCGCGGGGGATAAAGGGCAGAATCGCCCTCCATGATTCCCTCGAGCATTCCAGGCTTGCATTCGAAGCCTTCACGTCGATTGGACCGGGATTCCTCTCCTCCTCCTCCTCCTCCTCTGAAATGGTACCCACAACATCTGTTTCGTTGAACAGCAGCTGATTGCCATACGGCTGATGGAGAATCCACCGTCGATCTCGTGCAGAGTCGTGCTCGGTAGCTCCTATTGAGGCGCCCGCCGACTTGTAGAATGAATGTATGGCGGAATCGACCTCCCGCCACAACAATGGTCTGACTGCTTGCTGTAAACCGTTGCTCGTCTCGTGTCCTTCGAATGGTAACACTGGAACTGGTCACCAGAATGCGAGTTAACTGCCGACGGCCATAAACACACTCTCTTCGCTGGTAAGC